TCCAAATCAAGCATAAAAAGAGGATTTAAATCCTCAGCAGAAAAAACTAATGCAGCAACACTGTTATATCATAGGTTGTATTGCAACAGCCTACTGGAGCAATGATGGATTTCTACAGTGCACAGAAACTTTGAAAAGCAGGTTGGTTTTTTTTGTTGTTTTTTTTTTTTTTTTTCTTCAGTAGTTCAACAGCAAAGTGGGTTAAACTGTTACATAATTCATTTTTCATGTGTGAAAATAGTATTTTTTCATTTCTAGAAACCAATAACAAAATAAAAGAAAATGTAGGATTGAGTACGTGATGACCATGAAAAAATAAAATCTAAGTAAATAGAGGAAAAATAGTTAGAGGTAGATGAATTAACTAGGTAATAATCTAACAGCAAACTGCCACTTCTATCACCGATTTTCTCTAAGTAATTACCCACTAAGGCAGGAAAAGCATCTATTAATATACCAACTTAAATTATCAGTAAGAGAATTCTGAGTGCCACAGGTGATTGGTTTTGCTTTCTGTCTCTGAGTTTTATCATAGCAAACAGGTAAATATGTTGCAATCTACTTTAAAAGTTACCCACAACAGTAGCTTGCAGCTTAACAACCCTCAAAAACATAAATAAATGGCTTAATTTTTTTTCATATATCTGAAGAGCCTAGCATCCTTGAGGGCACTGTAAAATAGTAACATGAAAGGATTTTCCATTTGCTCCACTTTAATATTCTTAACAGCTATTACAAGTGACTACATAATAACTGGATACTGGGGGGACAAGGGGTATGCATAAGACATTGTACATTACTAGAACAGGCTAATGAAAATATATTTAACCAGTCCCAGAGCTTAAAGGTATCTGTTGTTACCTTAGTTATCTTTTATTTTTCTTTCTTTGAGTTGTGGTGTGGGTTTTTTTGTTTTGGTTGGTTGGTTAGTTTTGGTTTGTTTGGTGTTTTTACAGAACAGATGGATGTAGGGCATCAAAACAACAGCGGGTTCTAGAGGCCCTTACAGCCTCAGCTCCCCTGGAAAGGGGGACTGGCAGCTTTCTGCTGGGGCCCAGCACGCTCTGCGAAGAGCGGGACCTTGTCAGAGTTCAGCCATTAAACCGCTGCCTGACAGTGCACCGCAGAATGCTACACCGCTATGAACTGCTGCCTTTTCGTAATGTCGTACACATTCAGTCAAAAGGCCAAGAGATAACTTTGGAAGTTTAAGGATGCTGGGATAGCCAGGGTATTGTGTTTCAATAAGCAAGAAGTCACTTCACATTCAACTTTTGAAATAGCTGACTTAAGCTTTTACAAACAGTGCTACCATATCACTTAACTCAGCATATTGTATACTGTATTAGCCTTTAAAAAAATATATTATACATGAGGGAAATACCTTATCTTATTTATGTGGTTATAAATAAAACCTACATCTGACCTCTTCATTGTTCTTATGTTTCAGCGTATTTGGGCAAAAAGTCACTTGTACCACAGCAAAAAAAAACCCAAAACCCACACAAATGAAAACTGCTTCCAAACCACATACATTGACTGACTGCAGAAAATCAATAATATTTTAATAGCTGGTGAACAAAGAAAACCAAAACAAAACATCGCTCTTGCTTCCAACTACTGTCAATGGCTCTTTGATGGAATTCATTCAAGAGCAGCAACATAAAGTTTCATTCACAAGGCTGTCTCACAAATCCAGAGGAATGAGAGTCGTCAGCAAAGAAAAAAAACCCAACAAAACCCAAACCAGTTAACAGATAGGAAACTACTGCAATAGATAAATATAACTGTTAGTTTAGTTCTAATGTCGTGTATCTCTGTTTTTACCCTGTCTACCAAGCAGCTGGACTTTTCAAGAAGTCGTGTGATTTTGCCTGTCAGTAAAATGCTCAGATCTGAAATCCTTACCTTACAAAGGGTTTCTTTAAGAGTTCAAAACAAGGCTTCTTTCACGCTCTCTTGATTCCTTTATCATATCCTTACTCACAACCACCTTCACTCCATCTTTTTCATTGCAGGATTTTACCAAATCCTTGCAGCAGCCATCCAGATATCATCACATGACTGGTTAGTACCTTAACTAAATTGAGGATCAGTCTCATATGAGGTGGAATTCTCAAAATCTGTCATCCCAGATTTACCTTATTTCCATTATGTAGTGTTTTCATACAGCTATTAACACACATAAAAGCAACAGATCCAAACTGTCATGTTCTTTAGTATAATAACAAGTAAAATAAGTATTTAGTCAGGGATTTTATGAGTAGGAGAGATCTATGGAGGCATTTTAATTGTACATATGTTAACTTGGGTGCAAACTTAACTATGTGCCATACATATAGCCCAGACAGATGCTCTTTCCCACAGAGAATCAAAATACCTGACTTAGGTTTCTGCTTTGAGTTACCTTGTGGCTTCTCAATGGACCCATACATAGCAGGCTGGTTTCTTAATTTAGGCTGCTAGAGAGCCTAAAGTTAGGCAGTGGAAATACCCTCTCACACATCCCTCTGGATGGCTACATTAACGTGCTGCTGCTGGCCTGCATCAAAATATTGCAGGTGGCCAGTGCCTTCAGCCACCACCCTTTCAGGGGCCTTTTATCTTTCTTATGCGACACCTTATGTACCCCACAGTGCAAGTCAAGTCCTGATGTTCTTCACTCCTAACAAGCACATGCCTCAAACTTGAAACATGTCAGCTGTTTGCTCCTCCTCTCTCAGCCTTACTTCTCAGCTGTCTGCTATCAAACGGCCCTTTCACTCTGCATGGTTAAAACCACACAAGCAATGCTGTGTCTTCTAGTCCTTTCATAGCACAGCACACAAAATCTTGACCCATCTTTAACACCCTGGATACTGAAGCCATAGGTATCTCTATCCCCTGCTTCTCCCAGCTGGCTTGCTTCCAACATACATTCACACGGCCCTCTGAGGACTGTAAATCCGAGAATATCTGTACTTACTCTACAGTATAGGCATTGAAAAACCACTGCTTGAAAAACACTCACTTTCCCCGTAGAGCTGCCTGTTCTCTTAATAATGTAACACACATACACAGGGATGCAGGGAACCAAGCTGCTCGCTCCTGCTGGCTCTGCACTCAGATGAACTGCAAGACAACATGACTCAGCCCCAGACAGCTACCAAGTGCAACTCACAGATCATAGCTCTTGGCAGCATGTGAAATATGAAGAGAATGACATAACAACAACAAAACCAAAACAATTGAGGAAAAGAACCAAAGATTTAACAAGTTCAGAAAAAATGTCAGATCCTCTGCTTTATCTGCGACCAACCAAGAGATAGCAAAAGCGTGAGCAGACGCTACCAACCTAATCTTACACAAACTGAGCTGCAAACAAAAGGCTAGGGAGCGCTGCCAGAGAAGAGGTTTAAACCAACATTTAAAACAACACTGGGAAGAAAATAATTTACAGAGCCTACAAAGAAATGAGAAGCTTCCAGCCCACTTATAAGGCAAGTACCTGACAATTCATATTTTAAAGCTATAGAGGAATAATGACTTTTGACATTATTGATATGATTTTATTGTTGTATGTGTGCCCAGAAGAGTAATTTGTCGCATTTTAAATCAATGGGAAGATACCTGAACTAAAAATACCTATAAATAGCAATAAAAGGAACACTGGAACACTTTTTCTACCGTTTTTCCTGACTCCTATTTTATTAAAAAGCCAGAAATCAGAAAAAATATATAAAAAAAAGGGGAAACCATTTAAAAAAAAAAAATCTTTACAGAGTAAACTACTACAGAATACACACTTGCTGATACTCAGAAACCCAAAACTTAAAACCACTCCTCTAATAGTTGTCTTCAGTAAACAGCCTCGAAGTGTACATTTGCTTCCTTGTATGATAATTAATTAGAAGAGTAACACTTGCAAAGCATAATTACTCCCTGGAACATCTTCAGAAGAATCTGAAATCAAATGTCTCGTACCCTATGAAGGTAAGCATCACTCTTTCCTCTTCAGCATTCACACATAATATACAAATTTGAGAGGAAAACTTGCCCTAAAAGTGTAACATACTCTTGGGTTTTATTTACCATACCCCTATGGAAAGTGCTTATATCAAAATAAACATACATAAGTGGGCATCTTTAACTAGAAAGCGTTGACATGTTCCCTCACTGCCTTTCAGAGCAGCAGCATGAGCCTTCCAGCCCTCACCGCTTCGTGCTGCTCACCAGCCCGTGTCCAGCATGGGAAATCTCAGCACCTGCTTAACAGCAAACCTCCCTCTGCTCCAAAAAAATTAAAAAACAAGAAAATACCAACCAAACAAGAAAATTGATGTACACTAGGAAAATAAGTTCCTGCTCTTTGAGGGCCACAAAACACCTCAACAAACTCTCAAAAGTGTGGAGGGGAAGCGCAAAGGCAGAACATGCCCAAAAAGGCGGCAATAACTACCATCGATTTTTAACGTGCATCAAGTGCTCCAGCGGGCGGGGGCACCGCAACTTCACCCACGGAGGGAAGAAGGGGCTGCCATAGTCCCTGTCCGGCGCTTTAGCCCCTGGAAACTCCACAGCCAGGGACACCGTCAGGGCCTCCTCACAGCCTGCCCCCACGCCCGCGAGAGGCCTCAAACTGCCCCCTCAGCCCCCCGAGCAGGCGGGACAACGCGACGGGGCGGGACCGGAAACTCCACCTCCCTCCACTCCGAGCTCAGCCACTGGCCAGTCATCCTATCACTCCCAGCCCCGCCAGCCCTCTCCTTCCCGCCCCCCTCCTCATCGCCGAAACCTTCTCCTCAGCCGCCACCCCGCCCCGTTTTCCCAGCTCCACGCTCACTTGCTGGCGGCCACGTTAATCAAACGTAGTTCCCTCTTCTGACTGGCTGTTGCGGGGCGGTGGTTCCCGCCTGGGAGAAAGGGAGGGGGGCGCCCTTGGTTCCCCGGCGGCGCGCATGCGCGGGGGCGAGTGTTGTGCTGGGGGTGGGTGGGCATGTTCCGCGGAGAGGAGCGGCCGCCAGAGCGCCGCGGGGAGGGGGAGGGAGCGGGAGCCGCAGCGGGAGCGGGGCCGCCGCCGCCGCCGGGGAGCCAGCCTCACTTTCTAGGCGTGAGGGGAGACCACAGCCTGCCGGGGGCTGCGAGCGGTGCCACAGACAGACCTGTGCGTGTGCATCTATCTCTTATCTCTCTTGCATGTGTCTGTAGGACTCTCTCTCTCTCCACACACGCGCGCCCGTACCCACCCACCGGGCGGGCTGGGCTGTGGTACGGGCAGGGCGATGCGGGGCAGTACCTCTCCGCGCTCCCCCGCAGGGCAGCGGCCGCCCGGTACCGGTGGCAGGAGCAGGCAGCGCCGCGGGGCAGAGAGCCCTGCGGGGCGGCCGGCGTGTGCGCGGGAGCCGGCGCCGCGGTCACGCGTGGCGGCGGCCGGGACGGGGCGCGGGCGGGCGGGCGGGCGGGATGCGCTCCTCCTGCCTCCCGGGGCGGTGAAGCCCGGCGCCGCCGCCGCCTCGGGGTGGAGAGCCTGGTCCGACGAGACGCTTCGCCTGCGCTCCGCTCCGCCGCCGCCTCGGGCTGAGGACGGGGGAAGCCGTCGCCGTGGGGGGCTGAGGAGCCTCCCCCCCCCCCGGCACTCCCCTTCCCTTCCCCGCTTGCTCCGGGCTTTTCTCGGCGGTTCCTCTGGCACCGGGCGCGCAGCGGTGCGGTGCTGATCTGTAGGTATGCCTGCGCCGGCAGCGAGGTCCCCGCCTGCCCGCCCCCTGCCCCCGGGTGCTTTGCGGGTTTCTGCCTTCGCTGCTTTTTCTGCTCCTTCCCCCTCCGCGGCCGCTCCGCGTTTTCCGCTTTTGTTGTCCGGTGAGGGGCATGTGCCCGCTGCCCGCCGGTGCGGAGGGGCCGGCGGGGGGCAGGGGAGCGGCGCGGAGGTTTTGGGGGGGGGGGGGGTGGGGGGGTGGGAGAGGCCGGGCCCTCGGGCAGCCGCGGCCGGGCCGCGCCGGCGGGCGGGTGGGTGGGTGGGTGGGTGGGTTCCCCCTCCCGCCTCTTGGTGTTGACAATAAATCCGGGCTCGCTTCTGCCAGTGTAAACTCGGGCCAGGTGGGTTTACGCTGTTTGCGGTGAAAAGTTAAACTTGTTCCTAAACATGCCCTAGTCTTGCCCTTTCCTGCCCGTGGAGAAGGAAGTGTTACCTCACTGGCCGCGGCGAGTTTTATGACAAGATGTTTTCGGAGCACCTTGTGAGTCTCTCTCTCTCTGTCATTGCGGCCAGCTTGGCTCCCAGATGGCTAATTCCCTCAACGGCCGGAACCCGCGCAAGGGACGGATCCTGGGCTTCATTGATGCCATTCAGGATGCTGTGGGCCCCCCCAAGCAGGCAGCTGCCGACCGGAGGACTGTGGAGAAGACCTGGAAGCTTATGGACAAAGTGGTGAGTGTCTGTGTGCGTTCGTGGATCCGCGCAGGGAAGAATGGGGCTTTTTAAATAGGTACACGTGGGGAAACGGCGTCTTCCTGCAGCACTGAACTGCTATGCTGTGTGTGCCTCGGGAAGTAAGGGGACGTATGTTTTAGGTTATTTAAGCACTATTTGTCTTTTTTTATTATTTTTTTTTTCCTATGGCCTCTGGCTATGTTTTTTTTAATCATGGTTTGTGGAGGGAAAACAAATGTGTGTGTTTGCCTGAGGCTATTGTTATTTTCAGATCCTTGAAAATGACTCAAACTTGAAGAGCTGTCCTACCGAAAAGCTGCTTAACTTAGACTTGTAATCACATATTCAGTGTGTTTCGTGTTGGATCACATTGTTAGTCTGCAAACAAGACCTCTGAAGTATGAAACTTCAGTTAAGCTAATCGTCCTGTGAGACAAGCTCATGATGGCAAAGTAGATATGTTTGTGCTTTTAGGAATGTGCGTAGGGACTGGGGGATGTCACTCTTGTCAGTTTAGTAAACAGATTAGTATGGCATGCCTAACTTTAAATACGTGTTCTGCATTTTAATGATTTTTAAGTACTTCTACTCTTCATTTGGAAACTAGAAACACATTGTATTGAAACTCATTTTCCAGGAAGTGGGGCAATAGACCATAGTTTTTTAGATCTTACAGTTCTCTGCACCAGCCCGATATGTTTTGTTCAGTATTATACAAAGTGACAGCCCGTATGGTGATAGATTAGCTGGGAGAGTTCCTTAGCAATGGTAGGAACACTTTGATTATAGCACGGATAACTGTTCAGGGCATGCAGGCACTCTGCTTTGTAGATGAGGTGATATTCGAGGGCTTCCTCTTGAAACTGCTGGGGAACGAGGGTGACTACCTGTTAGCCTTGGAGTCTGTATGGCAAGAGAGTTTCTAACTCTGTGACTCTTTGTGAATTAGTGTAACTGTTTGCTTTCCCTGTGGTTCTTGTAAAATGCAGATGTTTAACATTTCTTAAAGTTTATAAGTTGTTATACTGACATGGTGGTGATTAATTCATGTAATATGCCTTGACAAGTGCTAATTTTAAAGTATTCGACTTTCTCCTTTGTGATGCTCCAAGAACACCATCTGTATTTCCACCACAGTTTCTGATGATGATTATAAACTTAAAACCCAGCCTTGATAGAAATGGTTATTATCACAAAGACTATGTGGACATTTCCCTGATAATGATCAGGATGCTGTAAACAGTGAGCATCTTGTAATAGGAGCTGCAGGTATAAGTATGTGGAAGCAGGCACTATTCTGCAGTAGAAGGAAATTTTTGGCTTGGAAACCAGGAATCTTGTTTGTTGTTGAAACCGCGTGGGGAATGTATGGCTTAATTTCCGCCTGTGTCAGGCCATTCACAAATCTATATGTTAAGATTGTCCCTCAATTGGTTTGTATATTCATGGTTACCAGAAAGTCTTAACCCCACTGCTTGGATCTGTGGATTGCTTTTGCTCAGCCAATACAGGATAACTGTCACTATTACAACAGAGCATCAGAACAGCTGGTAAAGCCTGTTCTGTAGAAGTCACTGGAAAGGCTGGACATTGTGCTGAGCTTTCTTTTCCATTTTACTGGATAAGTGTCCTCAATTTGGATCTTTAATGTATCCTCTTTAAGCTGCTCTCAGTTAATCAAATTTCATTTCCAAATTATATTAAAGTATACCAGACAGGATGATGTCATAGTGTGAGAATGCTGTAGCTGGCTTCTTGAGTTTTTAGCATTTGATACTTAGAGTGAAGGGATGTGTTTGAACAAATTTAATGTATTGGCAAACAAATTTAAGTTTCTTATCCTTATGTGGCAGTAGGCAGAGGAAGGTCACTTTCTCAACTTCCTAGATCAAAAGTAGGGTTTAAAATCAGAAATAGAAACCTGCTCAATCAAATGTTGTTTCAAATCCCATTTCTGGAGTGTGTCCTATGACTTATTTCTATGGTGGGTCACTGATCAATTTAATACCTAGTGAAGGCTCTGCAAAGTCGGTGGGGTGCCACCCATTGTAAGATTGTGTCTTTGAGGCCTATTTTGCTTGTTTTAATAACAGTCATTATCCTTGTTTATTCTTTAACTATAATAGCTGTGATAACCATCTTTTTGCTGCAATGAGGTAACTGAAGTTTTCTCCCATTTTAAAGATGTTTGGGAAAGGGAGAATGGAAGCAAAGCAAAGCTATTATCTTGACTAAAGGATGTAAAAAGAACAGTCGTAAAAACTAGAGGCAGAGCTCAGTAATTTCTGGTTTACATTTCCTTATTTCTTAAAATTGCCATTCTTTGCCTTTCCTTCATTTATTTCTGTAATTTCTTCCTGTGGAAAATGAGATTTTCTATGAATTATTTGTTTTCAACAATAAGGGATTAACCAATACTACAAATACCCCTACTCTATAAGAACTATACCATGAGAGTTGTTTTATGGTGAATGTAAAAGTTCTGTCTGCTTAGATACCGTGCAAACTTTTCTGTAGCACTGGTTGTATGTCATGTTTTGGAATTGTTCAGATTTCATGGTAATGTTTGCTTTCCATGGGCTGATGCTTCAGCTGCTAGAATAGGCAGAAGGTTGCAGTTCTGCTTAAGTGTCTTATCTTTAAACTTCTGTTACCGGTTTGAAAAAAAATCAAGGGTTTTCAAAGAGTTCTTCATCAGGGCAGAATGTTGGAATAGGTTCTCCTGATTAGAGACCTGTTTGTAAAAAGTTACTGTAAGCAATATATTGGCAGGGAATCATAATTAAAAAAAAAAAAAAATCTTATTGTGAGTAATCAGTGAATGTGAATTGTTATCTGTATGTATATCTTATATCTACATCTTCCTTTTTGTACTTCATTCACTGGGATCTGTACTTTTTGAGGTTTACTGCTATGTCTTTATATATATATATGAATTTATAATGCTAATTACATTATTAAAGGGACATCAACTGTTAGCATCAATGTCCAGTTTCCCTGTTGCTTTTCTTATGGGTAAGCAGTAGCTTTACCATTAAGAACCAAAAATACTTCGTTTCATTCCTTTGCAATGCAAAGGATAATAATCCTTTTATGGTTTGGAAGGCTAGCCCTGCTTTCCGGTGCTAGTATTGTATTAGGAAGTTGACCATTTATCTCTGAACTTCTAGCAAGCAAATTACTGTTCTTGAAACATGATGTATATTGTAGAAAGTTCATATCCTGTAAATAAATAAAGAAAACAAAATATTGCTAACAAATAAATCATAAGCCTTCCTTTAAACTGTGCATAAATTGTGTGGATTTTTTTTCTTCTGAGATACTAAACCTAATGGTTTTAAAACCTAGAAACTAGCTAGAATTTTTTATTAGAGGATAGTGGTTATCTTGAGAAGAAGTTTGGGAGAGAATGCCTATTATGTAAACACGGGAGTAGTTAAGTTAATTTACCGCTTGGGCTATTTAGAGCTGGCAGTACTATTGTGCACCCTTTACTATTGTGGGTTTCAAGCCAATAAAATTGTGACACATTCTGAACAGGATTTTTAAAAACAGGAATATTTCATCTACTTTCAGTTACTTTTAAGTATTCTTACGTATTGGGCCTGAAAATAATTGTATTTTCTACTGCGAAGATTAACGATATTGTCTAAACTGCTCAGGTGCTCTGTTATGGCTCATCCAGTTGTTTGCCTATATAAATGAGGATGACAGTTTGATTTGCTATTTAATAATTACCTAAGAGCAAATCAGAGTGTGTCTCCAAAGCCCGTACTGTTGACTTAGTGAGTAAAAGCTGTACTACCTCTGTAACTTAGTAATGTGTTTTTTTTTTACATTAACATTTGTCAGCATCCAAGTTTTCAACAGCATCTGTGTGAGTATAAAGAGTGCTGTAGTTGAAACTGTGTGCGTTGGTTATTCTTTTCAACACTTCATGTAATTATTACATTAATGTGCAACCTTCCACATAATTTAAATGTCATTGTTCCACAAAGGATCTAGAAAGGACAAGCATCAGTCATAACTATGGTATTCTTCAGTGTGTTACCTGGTCAAAGTTGATAGGAAGTTTTCTGTCCTGATTACAATGTTGGTGGAAGAAGAATAAAACTTTAAACAGAGAAATGGAAGCTTCTTTTCCTAATCAGAAGAAAGTACAACTGACCCTCCGAAGTCAGCAGTCCTTGTGCATGTGTAGCATCAGCATTGTTACTGCTTATTCCTCCAGTATGGAAACAAATGGCTCGGTTGCAGTGTGATAGGTGTTGAACAAGCACTTACTGTATACTCAACTGAAAAGATTGGTGGTAGCTTACCTCTACTTATATTTGGATGAGAAGGCTTTTTTCAGAGAGAAAACCCTTTTCTATGGAAAATAAAATGCGTTGTGGTTACGGTAACTTCTGCTGGGAAGAAATATAAGAGAGGAAAACATAATGTCCAGATTTCATCCATTTTCCTGATCAGCCCCTCCTTGGTTAAGTTCTTCAGAATTCATTGTTGGTAGCATTGTGTTGTGGTTTTTGGAGAATGGTTGTGGTAACTTACTGTAGAGCTACTTTTATGCTGTCTGTGGTGTGTACTTTGACTTTTTTGTACTGCATGGCAGAAGATACTTGTTCTGTAGATGGTTTTGAAGTGCAGTTTTGGAAGTGTGCGAGCACCGGTGCTCTGATTGTTCTAGTCCATTTGCTGCAGCTGAAAACAGTGTTTAGAGGATGTCCTACTCCTTAGGTACTTACTCTGTTTTAGCTGTGTTGCTTTCCATGTATTGTCTTTGACTAGCATTAGGTGTTTAAACAGATTGTGTTAGGGCTGCTATACTTTGCTTGAACAACAGTTCTTTTATCAAACGAGTCCAGGGGTTTCAACTTCATTGTTTGCTTTAAAAGGTGTATAGAAGATACAGTTTTCTGTAAGAAATTAATTGTCTAAATACAATAGGCATTCATGGCTCACGTTTCTGAAGATGCTGTGAAATAATGCCTTATAATTTAGGTCAAATATCTTGGAAAAATGTAATGAGTACTGGTACTTGGGTTGGAGGGAGAGGGAGGAGAGGGTTGGGGTTTTTTTCTCTGTAGGCACTAGAGTAAGTTCATCTGGAGGTTCTCAAGTGAACGGTTTCAAAATCTGTTTTTGGTAGCGCCTCAGTTCTTCACAATCAGAATTGCACTTTATTTTTGTGACTCTGGAGTAAATACTTGGATTTACCCTGAGTTGAGGTAGTGAAAGGAGCTTATCTTTGTCTCAGTTTACCTCAGTGAGACATTTCTTACTAATTTGCTGACTGATTTATTTTCATTTTTTAGACTGCTTGCTAAATATATACATGCTTACTTCCAGTCATAACAATACACAGATCACACAGTGATATGATTCATGTCCGCTCTTAAAGTGTTGGTGCGGGTTCCCTTGTAAAGTGCAGTATGGAGGTCTTAATTTGTGGTTGTCTTTTTTCGTTTTTTTTTTGAGTTCTGTTTTCTTTTGAAGAAAGGTATGTGCGCCACTTCTGGTGCATTGGTAAATCTTTTGCGTCAGCAGATGTCATTTCTTATTGCTTACTTTTAATTGTGAACTGCTGTGGTATGTGTCAGGACATCCTGATTCTGGAAACCATATGGTTTACCAGCCATCTCGTTACAAACCTACTTCCTTTGGACTGAAGCCTTGTGTACTCTATATAAAGTGAAGAAAGCCTTACTACTTCACTGGATCACTGACTTGAACTAAATGTTAACCTTTTTCTACTAAGTATGCATAAGACTAATGGACTTGTACTATAGAAGAATTTTTGTGTGACTTTCTTAAAGGCTTGTTCTGGTGTTGAAGGTTCTAGTAATGTGTTCTGTTTATCCCTAAGTTCAGCGGAAGGTGAAGCCTTGTAAACCATGATGACCACAGGATCCTGTTTTCATGTGCATATGAGTCTGTGTAATGATACTAGACTGAAAAAGACTTTCTAGGCCATCCGAAAGAGAAACTCATTCTTCTTTATAAAGGGATGGTCTTTTTGTATAGTTGTATGGGCTGACTGTTGAAAATACACTGACACACATAAGCAATTTTCTTTTTCCTGTTGTTTTTATATTAGTAGTGGTATTTCTAATATGTATGAAACTACTTATGTTCTACTTGTTGGCACATCCAATTGAAAAGATAGACTTCAGAAAGAATATTAATTCTTTATTCATGAGATTTAAGTTAGGATAAACAAGTAAATTCAACATGATTGCAGCCTTCTCTGCTTATGGTCTGCTCTCATTACTGAGTTTTATTTTCCTCTTTTCAGCTGTTTTTCTTCCTTGTGCTTGTTGCTCCAGAAAGTTGTAACACCTCATCAGTGATATTGATTTGTCATCTGTAGTTGGCTTTGGAAAGAATGTCAATCTTGTTTCAAGTTTTCACTAAATCAGAAATCACAGAGAACAAAAGGTCAGATGAAAAATGTCTACGTTTTTCATAAAGTTTTTCACTTCTGTCTTTGGGATTCCAGTTCTTCTAACTCTTCTACAAAAATAAATTGATGTATGTCTCTGCATGGATGATTTTCAGATGTGTCTACACATGTACAATTCTTTGCTTATGTTTCTGAAATCTCCTTGAAGAATTCTATCTGTCATCTTAACTTCAGTGTAACTAAAAGAAAATGTTTAATCTCCTTCATAAGTCTCTCTTGTTAGCTCCTTTCTCGATCTTCTGGGGTGACACAATCATCCTGCCTTCACTCAGGCAACTCTTCTACTTGAACTGCTCTTCTAAAAGTTATGTCTGAATCTTCAGATCAATCCATTCACCTAAATTTCTCATCTAGGCCTTGCTATTTTGTATATCAGTAAGTTCAGGTTTGCCTTTCGGACCTTGAAAGAATGTCATCCTATGCAACCTTTACTCTTTGAGAATGCTGCTGCAGGCATCTTCTAACCCACAACTTGGACCATGTTGTCATTTTCTTTATCCTGATAACCACTTCTTTATCACATGAACTATAAACAAATTATTTTCAGTTTCATAGTGTCTTGCTGTTTCACTCTTGCAGCTATGGACTGCAGTTCCAGACTTCATCACCTGATGAAGAGATGACCAAACATCTTTAAGCTTTACTTTTTGTTTCCTTCCAGCTTCTTCCTCAACTTAGGAGGAATTCCTTTACAAGACACAAAATTATTTTAGAGCTTGCTTTGAAACTTTGCAGTTTATATCTAAAAATATGTAAGTGCTAGTGCCCTGAACTGCTCTCTAGCACATTGAACAGTGTTATGCTCATGTATTCATATTTGCCTGCATCCATCTGCTGTCATTTTGTTTCCTACTGAGATTGTAAAGTTCTTTGTGGGAAGGACTGTATGTTCTACAACACATCAGAAAGGTTCCTGATCCATTACTTGGTCTGGTGGGTGAAAGATTATCTGAAATTACTGAAGTAACAGTAGATAAGTGAAATTAGGGGAGCTATTGCAAATGTCATGTTTCAAATACTGTTTTTGGATGGTGCTAATATTTCTATGTTACTTCAGTTGACACTGTTCTAATGGTGCTAGGATTCTTTTTAAAAACTCGCTAGTGCTTGACTTTCATCCACTCTTATATCTCTACTTTTCTAACTATGAGTCCTGTTACCTAAATCTAATTGCATGGTGTGTTTTTGTGTGTGTGTTTCAGAGGGAAAAAAACAATTACATGTCTGCTTTGCTGTTTGTGATGCATAAAGGTCTGTTAGTGGCAACAGTCTTAATGGTGTAGATCTATCTAGAAAGTGAAGGAGAGGTCAGCAATAGTGATACAGCTTTGAGTTTAGAAAGATGAATGTTACAGGATACAAGTTTGGTCGTCTGACCCCCCCCACCCCTGAAACGCTCAAGACTGCGCTTATTTTGAATTTAATACGATAGTAGGAATAGGAGTCTGCTTTCAGCAGTATTAAGATGTTTTTACAGCCTCGTTAGTTACCTCAAAAGAATGTCAAAGTCACTAATGTATAATGTGGCAATCTCCAAATGATAGCTATAAAACTTTTATGCCACATGGACTTAATTTTTTTATAAGTATTTGCATATGTGCAGTTGTACACACATGTTTAGAATGTGTCCCTCAGCAGTGTTTTAGCTGAGCATGTATAGCTCAGTGCAGTAGCACTCAAACTACCCATGAGTTTCAATTTCTTTCACATTCTAGAAGAGAACATTATGGAACCAACTACCAGATAATTTAGGAAGCCAGGAGATAGTTACTCTAACTGTGTATATGTTCAGGGAATAAAAACAGTATCTTCTTCTTCCAGAAAGATTTCCAGTGGAGACTAGATTCAAGTAAAGGTGTTCAATTCATCTGAAGCTTATTTTTTTAAGTAATATATATTATTCAATTAATTTTTGTGCTGTTTAGGAACATGATGATTCCAAGTCCATTAAGATGGTATCTTCTATTACAATCATGAACTGGAAGATGTTGTGTTTATAATGTTTTGTTTCCCAGTTTACAGTATCTGTTTGTGAGTGACTTAATTTCTGTCTGTCATAACTAATAGCTTTTGAACCACTGGCATTTTTAATACCATTTTCGTATGTATAGACTTCTCAAACTTTAAATTTCTGTAGGTTTTAAGATGTTATATTGTTGGGTAGAGAAAATGGGGAGCCAGCAGATGACAAGGTAGTTTATAAGGTCTGTTCTTAGTAGGCATTTAAAAATCCATAGGGAAGTTCACCTGTGGCAGATCTGTATGCAGCTACTGCTCTTGGCATAGTTGCATACTTGTCGTGGTTTGGGCCTGGTTTTGATAATATACTCCTTAGCATAAAGTAAGCAGGCAAAGACATTTTTACTTTAAGTGCAGACCCCCAAACTATGTAAGTAAGCTTGTTTTGCTTTTTATAGATGTGGCAGGATTAAGTTAAATTTTGCATCCTTTGACATAAGAGACTATAATTGGGATTTCATGGAATATAAATGAAGTAGGATTTAATTCTTTGTGTCTGGAGGTTAGAGAAGTATGCTTATACCTATTAGAAGTCAGATCAGTTTTTGCCCCAACATATTTCTTGTCTTTTACATTCTCTTGTTTTTGCTTATAGGTAAGATTGTGCCAAAACCCAAAGCTTCAACTCAAAAACAGCCCACCTTACATACTTGACATTTTACCTGACACTTATCAACATTTGCGACTTATACTGAGCAAATATGATGACAACCAGAAGCTTGCACAACTCAGTGAGAATGAATATTTTAAAATCTACATTGACAGTCTCATGAAAAAATCAAAACGGGCTATAAGACTCTTCAAAGAAGGGAAGGAAAGAATGTATGAGGAGCAGTCACAGGACAGGTAAGTGAAATATTTAGATATGAAGTAGATTGTCTGGCCTATCTGCATTCTTAATACTGTTTGTCTGCAGCCATTGTGTTTTGACATTTTTAATTATTTAAAGAGCAGAAATATTTATTGTTTAGATTCATTGACCCTGCAGGTCAATCAGTAATGTGCTGGATTTGTTCCACTGTATGCTCTTATCTGTCACTTTGTGACCTTTAAAACCAAGTGCATTTCCTTCATAAAACATTCATTTCATTGTAATTACTTACTCACACGGCCTTACAATATGTACTTTTTCCTCTGGCAGAGAGAGAGAGTGACTGTGACTTGGATTGAGCTTGACCCTCCCTACTCCAGTTCTTAAAACTGTGGGAGCCATGATGGATATTGACTTAGAGCTTTCACAAGTGATGAAATGGAGCAAAAAAAAATGCACATTTTTGAGATACTGTGTGATGTTAGAATAAGGTGATGATAATGTTAGTTTGGTGCTGAGAAACCTTCTCGGAAACCTAATGGATTCCTGATTTTCAGTGATTCAGTTTTAATAATGGATTAATGTCCACTTTATGTGTACTCTTGGTGGTGAGTGAAGAAGTTTTTAATATTTGATTTTATTACCTAATCTCTTAAAAATAATATTTAAAGAAGTTCTGTGCAAAATCTGTAGTTTTGTTTTGGGAAGGGGTACAGCAGTCTTGTGGCAGTTAGACTCTCCCATGTGTGGTATACCTTTAAATCTATTAAAATAAAAGATACAATGCTGTTTCCAGAGTCTTCCCTTTTGAAGGGAGATAGTGAGGAATGGGAGATAGAGAGGAAGTCAATAGAGAGTTGAATCACTGGCTTTCTGTCTGCACCTGAGCTCAGAGGCAGGGTTGCAGTATAGTTTTACAGCTGGTGAAAGTGTTAGTGGAAGCAGTGAAATGCCTACATTCTTGTAAATGTCACTGCTGTTATGTTTGATTTATACATACGTTCTTCCAGATCTTTAGCAATGATTATGGCTATTCAGTATGCTGTGGTAGTCTCCTGTGCTTGATAGGGTGTCTGAAGCTTGCTTAAAGTCTAAGGAATTTTTTTTAAGTATATAAAGACTGTCCAGTTGTGAATGTACGTGGAACAGTTTGACTAAGAGGTGCAAAATACACTGAACTATTTTAGTGATGAGTAAAGATGTTTATGAATTTTTTGTGTTTGAATTCATAAATATCTAAAGGAACATTTTGACTGTAGACCCATTCTTACTGGAACCCCTGGAACAGTCATTCAGCACTGAGCCTATGGGTTCTTTTTTTAATATCATATTTGTTGTGTGTGCGGAAGCCATTGTGTTACAAAAGAAATAAGAACTTTTTATGGTAAGGGACATTTGACATAAATGGTTGCATTATGTGAACAGGTTTTATTTTGACTTCCCTGTGTTATATGAAACCCAGATTTCCTTGTGGTTTTACTTAGCAATAAATTAAAGCCAGTTTCAGTGTCACTTTTTCAAAAAGTCTGCTATATGCTTTGTGCAGTCATTCAGTGTCTTAGTAACTGTATTTAGTTACCAGAGTTGCTTTCTTCCTTCCAGTTACCCACTTCATTTCCTGCATAAGGGTAACTGGTGATAGAAGGAAGTCTTTTGTGAAACAAACAGATTTTGAAGAAGGTGCAGTTAGCATATTTGCTGTCATTTATTTGAGCCAGTCTTGTGAGATGATTGAAGAGGACAGATTTTAAACAAAACATAGTAATGAAGTGTACTGAATCACAACTACTTCAGGCTCTTTAAATTTGTATTTCAGAAGGTGACAACTATATTATTTTGCCTGACTGATGGAATTTGAAGTTTGAAGAAAGGAGTACAATAGAAATGTTTCTCCTGTGCAAAAATTGGTAGTTGTGTTTTCTATACAAACTGCATTTTGACATACAGTCAGAATGCTTAAACAACAACAGGAAAAGTGTAAGCATTGTTTCAGCAGTTCATGCTTTATGCCATTAAAGTCTACATGTTTGCAGCTTCAGTGTACCCTCTTTCATTTGCTGGCAATGTTTTATCTGTTTGTGTGTCCTAGTTTAAAGCTGAATGAAAGTATGATTGTTTGCTGATCCCTATGACTAGGTACCTGTTTGCTCTGCAGTGCTTTGGCATAGCTAATCATGTTACTTCTTGGTAAGTTAGTAAAAGAAACTGTTAACATTTTTAGCTTCTTTGCTTTCAAATATGCTTGCATTAACCTAAGTACGATATTTGTTAATGTTACAATGCAAATGTCGGAATGATCATTTAAATAAGTGTTTTTGAAGATGTGTCTAAAATGACTATTAAATTGAAGTGTAGTCAGTTTTAAAAAAAGACAAGCCATAAGTCTCTCATGTTGACACCTGGCCAGCTTCTGTGGTTTTCAGTCTTACATTTCTGTTTTTGTTTTCTGTTAGTGTTGTCTGTGGTTTCTGGATAAAAGGTCATAATGAAAAAGAGAAATTGGCTACATTTGGAAGCATTCTGTGTATATATATATATATATATTTCACTGGTATACTTTTAACCTATTAGAGTTATTGAATAATCTTTTAACTTCTGTAGTGATGGTACATTCAGGAACCAGTGTCAATATACATGTGATTTTATTTGCCCGAAGATACCAAAATTACTTTATTGTGAATAATTTGTTATGAATTTTAGTTCTCCAAGATCCTGTGGATGAAACAAGATAGTGGGCCAGTTAGATTATATACAAATGGCTGAAAAAAAAAGTTACACTGTGATGGTGTTGCGTCTCTATCATGTGTTCCACATCAAACACGTGTGATAGCTGTTTAAGAATAGTTGATGCTGTCATTCTCTACTCTATGGGATGAGTCTTGCTAAGCAGAGAAAGTATGGCTTACAAGTTTGTTTATTGTATATGAATTGCATCTACCTTCTGGATATGGTGTCTAGTATGAAATTATGTGCTCTCAGTCCTCTTGCTTAATTGAAGAGATGATGTTCAATAAATTCTGTAAACTCTGCTAGATACAGACTGCACACAAGTTTTTTGATGTATGAGGTAATTAAAAGATTTTTTTTTTGTCACAGATTTTACTTTTTAAAGGTTAGTAACACAAGCTTATTACTGGTTCAGGTACATCTACTCTTCTTAAAAGGCCTTCTGTGTTTTTGAGGGTCTGGGGTTTTAGGGTGTTTTCCCCCTCTTCCCCCCCCCTTTTTTTTTTTCTCCCTTTCTTGTTTATTGAGAGTAGACTAGAACTGGAAGGCATAATTTCTCTGAAGTCCAAACTTCCTTTTGTCTTGCTGCATTCCAGAATTTTGCATCCAGAAAAAATAAAAACTTTGTAGGCTCTCAGTTTTTTTTCTGACAAACATGTTAACCAGGTGTAGAAATCAAGCACATAATAAGACTAGAGGAGGAATGAAGTGGCAGTAGGGAGATTACATTTGGATTCTTTGAAGGTGCTGGACATGGTCTTCAGGGCTAACACAACCATTTCTTAGTAATGGAGACAAGTGTGAACTTTTCTGTGCTTACCTGTAAATCATGTCCTTGGAAGAATAAGTCTGGAGGTGGAACTTGTTTATTGTTTGTTTTAATACTACATGCCTTCTGCTATGTGCCCTTTATATGAGGTGAAGATGAAAAGTATAAAACCAAGGTGTATACTGATTTTTAATAACCTCTTAAGTGCTGCTTGATTCAGCCAAAATGAGTTTGCTACTTGTTTTTAAGTGGCATTGCAGAAGTGGAAGAGGAAGATAAGATGAAAGATGAGTATTCCTTAAGCAGTGGGCAGTACAGATGAAGATGGCAAGAGTAGATGAGCTGAGGTGGTTTTGAGGTTGATGAAGAAAGACGTGTGTATGTAGGGAACGTCAGAGTCAAGGAAGTCCTTGGAGGTGATCAGAACTATTCCTGTTGCTGTACAGAAAGCCATGCTAAATTCTCTTGTTCATTGGGCCATTTGGTGTCTTAATTCAAATTGTATGTTTCTAGATTTTACAGCTTGATCAAGTGTTTTGTTAGTGCAGAATTCTTACATTCTTTAAGCCTTCTATGGAGGTCTCATACCTATGGTTCAAGTGATAGATCAAGTTCTCCTTTGTTACTGTTCATGTTGGTTAGTGAGTTTGTAAAGTGTTCCATTTCTCTTCCTTAAGTCTGTGTTGACAAGTGAGATCAGTTAAGGTTCCTGAATCAAGTCCCTCAACTGGCACATCAAAGTACACAGCATTCTAAGTAGAGACTTTTCTACTGTTGAAATTTCTAGCCTATTTCTTACTTACTCTGAAAGTACAGAGTTGATAAGAAGTTGTAAGGGTCAGCATCAGGATGGACTTCAGTTATGTCAGCTGCATCACAGGAACAGCCATTTGTATACTTCTTTCCTGTGGTAAGCGGTAGCTTACCCTGCTGCTTTGAATTGCCTTCTCTTGTACCACAGCCTTGCTGGTTTATTTACAGGAAGTTAGGAAGTGTGTAACTTAGCCAGACTTGTAACTTGTTCGTGTCTTCAGACAGAGGAGATTTTGTTGATGGAGCGAAGGATCATGAGGAGTATATTTTTTAGTTTGGGACGATTTTATTTGGACAAGTTACGATTATTTGTCTGATGGTTGTCTTGCTTGACACGTAGAATGTACAGATTCAGAAAAGGATGTTAATGGCTCTTTTCATAAAGCAAAGTTTGTCTATTGGTTAATATCACATAGATAACTCAGTAAATGTCAGATAGTAAGGATGGCAACCTTCACTAAAGTAGATTGGATTTGAAGTTGTGATCTTGTGGTGAAAGTTATTTGCTCCTTAGAATCCTGTGATTGGTTCCATTTCCCAAGCATATTAGGTAGTTTTTGGTCTTCAGTAAATTCTGAGCTGAACAGTTAGGCTGTATATACTATCAATCTGTTGTCTGACACGATCTGTAAACTGCTATTCTTCATCTATGTCAACAAGTTTTAGAGATCAAATATATTGACTCTCATATTCTAATCTTGCTGAATTTGAGGCAAAAGAATCTAC